GCTTGACTTGCAATGTCAGAAATTGTTGACCTGAGTCCTCTACAGCTCAACATGACAGCGTGGCTTTACTTCTTATACTTCTTTTTTATACTTTTCTGCTGAATGGTTAAGACCAAGGTAAAGAGGCAAATATTAATGTATCCACTTGGTCAGATCTTGGTGAGCTGTATGAGGCCTCAGCATAACAATGAACAAACTCCTCCCGCTGCTCCTACTCAGCCCTGTGTCTGCCATGCCCCAAGACCTTTGCAAGGTCACTGCCTCTGCCTTGCTGTTCTGCCTGCGTAGGAGGGGGCCGGAGGAGGAGCTCAGTGCATTTGTATATGAATGAGGGAAGAAAGGTGCTGAGCCTTGCCATTAGCATTAGCTGTCAGCCTTTTTTTTGGACAACTTTTTATTGGTGCATTTCATTTATTATTTTTTAGTCTTTTACTTGTTTCCTTGGTATAGGGTCTCGCTACGCAGCTCAGGCTTATAGTGATCCTCCTGTCTCAGCTTGCCCAGTGCTGGAATTACATGCATGTGCCACCATGCCCAGTTCTGGGGCCAGCACAGCATGTCTGGGGTTCCAGGGCCAGCGCAGCATGCAGTATTGGGGCGGGTCCTTGTGCTTGCCAGGCAGGCGCTCACAGCACTGAGCTATCTTCCCAGCCCTGTTGGCACACTTTAGATATACATACTGATCCTGTTCATCATAGGGAGTTTGTACCTGAACCTGATGCTGCTCTTTTTTCCCATTCCTGTGTCCTCCCATCAGCTCCATTCCCCTCTTACAAAAGCTTTGTTTCCATTTCTTCTAATTTTTTCTTGTCCTTTCCTCTCCTCCCTCCTTTCCCCTCTCGTTCCCCTTCCCATTTGGAAATTTTTCTTCCTGTTTGCCAATATCTTCTGTACATTTTGGTCCTTATTTACACTTTTGGTTTCTCACTCCAGAGAAACTGTGATATTTGAATGTGTGTGTCCATTGTATTTCACTTAAGAGTGTGGTCTCAAGGTGCATCCATTAGATAGAAGTGTCTCAAGTTTATCCTTCTTTGTGGCAGAGTAGTACTCCATTATATAAAAAGCACATCTTTTTATGCATTAATCACTTGATGGGCATTTGGACTATTTCTAAGATTTAAATATTACAGACTGTGCTGCTATAAAAATGGACATGCATCTATTGCTATGATATAATGATTTTAATTCTTTAGGGAAGATACCAAGAAGGGGAATAGTTGGGTCAAGTGAAGCCCTAGTTTTAGTTTTTTGAGGAATCTCCACGTTGATTTCCACAATAATCGTGCCAGTGTACACTCCCACCTGTGGTGTAAAAGGGTTCCTTTGTCCCAGAGCCCCACCAGCCTTTGTTGTTGGTTAGTTTCTTGATAATAGCCATTCTTTCTGGACTGAGATGAAACCTCAGAGTTTTAATTTGCATTTCGCAAGTGACCATTGATGTAGAACAGTTTTTGATGTGTTTATTTGCCATTTCCATTTCTTTCTCTGAGAAGTGTCTGTTCATTTCAGATGTCCATTTTAGATTTAGGGGTTCTGATTTTTTTTTTTTTTTTTTTTTTTTTTTTTTTTTTTTCTGGATAGTAGTCCTTTGAGGTGCAGCTGGCAACATTTTTCCTATGCTGTGGGCTGTCTCTTCACTCTGTTGATGGTTTGTGCAAAAGCTTTTTAGTAAGATGAGATCCCAGTTGTTGATTCCTTGTGACAGGGCAACTGGGGTTTTGTTTATAAAATCTTTGCCTACATCAGTGTCTTTAAGCGTTCTACCTATTCTATCTTCCAGCAGGTTTAATGTCTCTATTTAAATTTGATCCATTTCAATTTTCATTTACTGCATGGTTAAAGATATGGCTCTAATTTAAATCTTCAGCATATGGAGAGCCAGTTTTTCCAGCACATTTATTTATTTGGTTCCAGGAATCAAGCTTACGACTTCATGCTTTCTAAGCAGGCACTGCACCACTGAGCTGTATCTGTAGCCCTCCAGCACCATTTATTAAAGAGACTGGCTATCTTCTAGTGGAGGTGTTTGGCACCTTTGTCAAATATAAGGTGACTGAGTTTGTTTGGAGTTGTTTCTGCATCTTCTAATCTGTTCCTCTGATCTGTAGGTCTGGTTTTTTGTTTTTTTTTGTTTTGGTTGCCAGTCCCTTGCTGTTTTTAATCACAGTAGCAATGCCAGTATAATCTCGAGTCAGTGATTTTGATACTGCTCTGCCTTGCCTTTGTTGCCCAGAATTGCCTTTATTTTCTACATCTTTTCTGGTTCCAAATAAAGCTTGGAATTTTTCAGTCTAATTTGTGAAATATACTGCTGGAATTCTGATCTAGGTTGCATTACATTTGTATAACAATTTTGGAAGTATGGCTATTTTCACTATATTGGAATTTCTTACCTAAGAGCAAAAGGTATCTGTCCATTTTTTGGTATCCTCTTGAATCTCCTTTTTCAGAGTACTATAGTTTTCAATGTAGAGGACTTCCCTTGTTAGATTAATTCCTAAGTATTTCATCTTTGAGATGCCATTATGAAAAGTGTTGTATCCTTAATTTCTCTCTCAGTGAACTCAATGTTTTTGTACAGGAATGCTATTGCTTTGTGAGTGTTTATAGCCAGCTATACTACTGAATTTGGCCATTAAGTCTAGAATTCTTTGGTGGCATTTTGGGGTCTTCTATGTAGAGTATCATGTCTGTGTAAAGTATCATGTCATCTGCAAATAATGATTATTTAACTTCTCCCTATTCTTATTCCTTTTATTTCTTTCTCTTCTGGCTAATATTTGTAGAATTATAATTAATAGGAATGGTGATAGTGGGCATCCTTGTTTCATTCCTGATTTTCGAAAAATTTTACAGTGTTTGTCTATTTATTGTGATGTTGGCCATTGGTTTATCATAGCTGGCATTTGGGGGCCTGGCCCTAGCTCAGGCCTTTAAGTGGCTGCTTCCACAAAGCTGTCAGCCTCAGTTTCCTGGAGTTCGAACCTCACACCTCTCCCGCTGGCCAAAAGTGCCCTGAAGGCATTCGAGGAACACCAAAAAAAAAGAAAAAAAAAATGGCATTTATCAGATTGCAATAAAGACCATCTATTCCAACTTTCTGCACAATTTTATGAATGGGTGTTGGACTAAGTCAGATGCCTTTTCTGCATCTACTGAGATGACCATATGGTTTTTTACCTTGGCTCTGTTAATATGATGTATTACATGTATTTATTTGCATATGTTGAACAATCCCTGCATCCCTGGGATGAATCCTATCGGTCATGGTGTATAATCTTCTTGCTGATTTATTTGCTGCATTCTATTTGCCAGTATAGTGTTTAGGATTTTTGCATCTGTGTTTGTTAGGGAGATTGACCTGTAGTTCGGTTTTGAGGGTAGTTCCATCTCTGGTTTTGGTATCAGAGTAGTATTTGCTCCCAGGAATGAGTTTGGGAATATTTCTTCCCTTTTTAGTTTCATTAAAGAATTTGGAAGTAAAAGCATTGAGTCTTCTCTAAGATTTTTATAGAATTCAGCAGTGTGGGCCAGAGGTATAGCTTAGCAGTTCTAGCACCTGCCTGGCAAGTACAAGGTACTGAGTTCAATTGCTGGTACAAAACAAACAACAACAACAACAAAAAGCAGCAGTAAATTGTCAGATCCTTGGCTTTTCTTTGTTGGTAGATTTTTAATTACATCTTCGATTTTATTGAATGGTTTATTTAGAATTTTTATATCTTAAGTCAGCTTTAGTAATTCATATGTATGTAGGAACCTATTTCTTTTGTGTTTTTTATCTTATTAGAGTACAGGTTTGCAAAGTAAGTATTGATAGTCTGTGGAATTTCTGTAGGCTCTGTTGTGGTTTCACCTTTTTTGTTCCTAATTACATGGATTTGAGTTCTTTCTTTTGATAAGGTTGGCTAAGGATTTGTCAATTTTATTTAATCTTTCAAAGAACTACCCTCTATTTATTGATTTTTTTTCTTCCTTTTTTAATGTATTTAGTACAGAATCTACAGTGTCTCACTACACAGATTGGACTCGTAGATTGGACTCATAGTGATTCTCCTGTTTTCTGGCCTTCCAAGTGCTAGGATTACAGGTGTGCACCACCATGCCCAATCTCAATTGCAGTCCCCTTGTGCCCTGGGTTGGAGCCAGCACAGCACGCCAGGGATCGAACTCCGGCCACTGCATTCTGCCTAAGCAGGTGCTTTAGTCTGCTGAGCTATCTGGCTGGCCCTTTTATTCTTTATGTTAGATTAATAATTCTTTATGTTAGAAATTAATGCAGCAATTTCTGGTCTGATGTTTATAATTTCTCCCACACATTCAAGCTTTGGGCTTGACTTTGACTTGCTCATTTTTTTCTTGAAGCTTGAGGTTCAACCTTAAGTTGTTTATTTGAGCTCACTGTGTTTATCTGATGTGAGAATTCACCGCTATACAATCCCTCATAGGATTGCTTTCATTGTGTTCCATAAGTTCTGGTATTGGCTTTATTGTTTGATTGTAGAAACCATCTGATTTCTTTAATCTCATCTGTGACCCATTGGTTGTGCAGGAGGCTGTTATTTCATTTTCATGAGCTTATGAAGTTTTTGTGGTTTCCTTTGCCATTGATTTCCGCTGTCAATTTTCTTGGCCTCCTGTTTCCCTCCTTTTCTCTGACTCCATTGCATGCAAACTCTTCCAAGCAGGTGTCTGCTTCCTACATCTAATTTTCTTCATCTTTTCTCTGGAGTTTTCCCTCCAGTCTGTTGCCACTGCCCCTTGCATACACACCTTTATGTAACTTGACCTATGAGCAGCATCTGATATTGGTGGTTAGTCTTTTTCTACTTGAAATCCTTTTACCCTTGGCTGCCAGTATTGTATTCTCATGGTTTTCCTCTTGTGTCTCTACAGTAGTCAGGACAGTGGTTCTTAAGCTGTTTTGTGGTGTGTAATTTCGTGAAGCTTAGGAGAGATTCTCGTGTAGGCAGCAGCACATATATGTGCCCACAGAATTGTGAATGCAGAAACAAGGGGTTCTGGTCTCTTCCCCCGAAATCTCATTTATGGACCCCACAGAGACAGCTGCCAAAGATGTGAGAGGAAATGCACTCGAGCATGGTGCTATTAGAGTCCCAGGAAGGCGGGAGTGGCTAGTGTTGTCCAGTGTGGAGCAGTGTGGGGTGAGCCATGGACACCGCGCTTCACAGCTAGCAGCAGTGGTGAAGCAGCGAGAGCAGAATGCAGGCAGCCCTGGGCTGGGGGCAACAGGTGTGAGGAGCTGAACCAGGAGATCCTACAGTTCATGATCATGGCAACCCCGTTCTGTCGTCCTTGGTCATGAAAGCAGAGTTGGAGAAAGCTCAGATCAGTAGCAGAATGTTGTGAGAATTTTGCTTCTAAATCACAGGGTAAAGGGAGGCATGGCTGGAGGGCACAAGGAAGGGAAGTTCAGTGTTGTTGGTTTTGTTCTTTCTGAGACTAAAGTCAGTTTTGCTGTCAAACGCCAGGGAGCAAGTAGGAAGAACTTAGAGGAGCTAAGAAGATAGAGACAGCAACTGGTGGTTCAATGGGTGAGGTGGGGGTCTGCAGGGACTCAAAGAGGAGTGGGCACAGATGCAGTGGGGCAGTCTGGTGTGGTGGAGAGGAAGGAGGAGGACTCTCGAGCTGTGGCTTTGGGGCTGTAAGGAAGAAGATGCTGTGTCTGACAGCACTGGCTCTACTCATTAGGAAGGAAACGGGAGAGGTAAAATGCTTTGTGGAGCGCGTAGGAAAGGGCTGCCCCAGAATGAGCAGGAAGAAGGGTAGCATTGAGACATGGGACATGAGGCTGTACGTTTGTAGTGGAACCAGACACCACAGTGGCGTTTCCTCTGGATGTGAGTGGATTAGAGCAGACAATGTCGATATGTGGCCGTTGTAGAAAGGGACTGGCACATTTTAAACTCCAGGTTTTAGCTACTGCTATTCTTGCTCTTAACTTGATCATTTCTAGTAGTGCTTTAACCATAAAGTTGTATTATTTTCTTTTTTTCACTTTTTTTTGTTTTTGAGATAAGGTCTCACTAAGTAGTGCAGGCTGACCTTGAACTCGCTTATGTAGCCCAGGCTGGCCTCAAATTCACAATAATCCTCCTGCTTCAGCCTCTTGAGTGCTGGGGTTACAGGTGTGCACCACCATACCTGGCTTACCATAAAGTCTTTGAAAGAAATAAATCAATGAACACTTCTCTTCTGTCTTGGTTGATTTTCTCTTGTTGCTGAAGCAAAATACCTGACACCCAAAATTAGGGAAGGAAAGGTTTATTTAGCTTATAGTTTGTGGAGGGTTCTGGCTTTAATTAGCTGGCTCTAAGGCAGTGTGGCACATGGCAGAGGGCAGCAGTTCATCTTGCAAAACTAAAACTATGTGTCAGAAGATAGCAGAGGCAACAAGAGCAGAAGAGGGGAGAGCAAGCCTCTTTTCTTCCCTTACATTGTGAACAGGCTCCCTGCCTTTGGGTGGGAGTACTGCTCACACCATCTCCCCGCCCTTCTCTTGCACAGCCTCAGGATGTGTGCAAAGTGTGGACCCTGGTTCTCTACTGTAGAGTGCCTTAGTGAAACTTCTAAACTTCTCAAGTTGCCAGTGTGTCAGCGAATGAATTGACTCGCTTGAGGGACTGTTTTTCTCTGTTTTCATCAAATTTTACACTCGGAATAGCTGATGATTAAGTGGAACACTGTTGTAGGAACCGTCACCAGATTGTGTAAACATGTGTTGAGGTAATTGACATGGGGTATTGCTTTTCCTCTTTGCGTGACTTTCCCATTACTTTATATGATACTGAATTCTAACGTGAATTTTCCCTTGTTTTCCTATTCCTAAAAACATTTTATATACTGAGAATTATCAGGAATATGGACTTTACTATCCAGTAACTTATAAAAGCATGGTTTTGAGAAGTGAAATTTACCTCTTTCTTTGATTTTTGCAGGAAATTCAGAGTCAGGACACTCCCCTCAAGAAACATCAAGTTAGCTCCAAAGCACAGTCTCTCCCAGTAGTAGAGAAGGTGACAGAAAACCAGATACCAGCCCCAACTTCCAGTACAGAACCTACAGGTCAGTGTTTCATTCCTCCTTCACTTAAAGTGTAGTTTCCAATCTCCCGTAGATTTGGACACTGGGTCGGCTAGCAGAAATGCTGCTTCCAGTCCAAAAGACAGGTCTAACTCACTGTTCTTCATTTCTGACCCTGCAGTGTGGTTTGCCTGTAGTTCTCATTCTGGAGTGCGAATGTACATGCCCTGGCTGGGGGTAATAGTAACTCTTTCTGGAGAAGCATTCAGTAATAGCTATGAGTTGCTCTTTAATTCAGCTTTTCTGCAAGTGTTGCTCTGCAATGAATTCCTGAACTGTGCAGAGATAGATGTATGAAGAGGTCCATTGTGCACTGCTGGGAATGGTGCTGAGACTTCAGGGACCCAAGTTCCCACCAGAAGATGTTGAACTAAATTGTGCTGCGTCCATGTAATTAAATAACATGTCGCTGCCTAGAAGGAGGCGGCTTTGTGATGATGTTTAACTTATCATAGGTACTTAATATTTTCATTTTAAAGTTTGAGGTAAAATCACATTACATCAAATATACCAACTCAGCTGTTTTAAAGCACATATTTCAGTAGTGTTAAGTACATTCATATTATCATAAAATAGATCTTTAGAACTTTTTCATCTTGCAAAACTAAAACTATGTCCATTAAACAATTCTACATTTTTCTTCTACCTCTTCCAGCCCCTAGTGACCACCATGTACTTCCTCCTGTTCTATCAATTGGACTACATTAGATACTTCATTTACGTAAAGTCATACACAGTCCCCCCCAACACACGCACTTACTGATAGGTGCATGTTCCAAGACCGCCTATGGGTGCCTGCCGTCATGCAGTACCATCCACATATTATAAGCTGCTCTCCATGTAGATGCTTCATTTTTTTCTTATAAGCCCGACAGCATTGCCGGATGGTACCAGAGTTCAGCCGTCCGTACATGTTCTGTGTCCTGGTGCCATCCTTGCACCGCTGTCTTGCCTTTGGAACCATTGCTCAATAGAGTGAGGGCTGCTTGCACCCACTTGGCTACATCTCTGATAGTGTTTGCAGTGTGATGCCCTAGACAAAAGGATGCTTTAGTCCGTGGCCTAGAGCTACATGCAGTGGGAAGGCCTGCGACTTTACCAAGATAGGTAGAGTGTACTTGATAGCTTATTGTTTATTTCTGAGATTTTTCTATTTATTTAGGACAGGGTCTACAGGGTCCCACTATGTAGATTGGACTTCATAGTGATTCTCCTGTTTTCAGCCTCCCGATAGCTGGGATTACAGGCGCCCACCACTGTGTCAGGTCTCAATCACTGCCTCAGCACGCCCTGGGGGTGGCGCCAGCACAGCACACTGGGGGTCGAACCCAGCCTCTTCGCTCTGCCTAAGCAGGCGCTGTAGTCTGCTGATCTATCAGGCTGGCCTTGAGATTTTTTTCTATTTAATGTTTCTGGACTGCAGTTGTCTCTAACTGAAACTGTGGAAGCAAACAGCATGGGGGACTGCTCTGTGGTGTTATCTTTCTGTGAGTGGCCTATTTCATTTAAATAATGTCCTTAAGGTTCAGTGTGGTGTAGAATGTGATGAGACAACCTTTCAAAGCTGGATAACATGCCTGTGTGTGTATGTATAACACATTTCACTTTTCCTCTACATTTGTCTATAGCTGGCAGTGTTGCTGTGACCATGCGTGTTCAAATATCTCTGATATTTCAAATTTGGGGGTAAAAACCTAGAAATGGGATTGGTGGATCCCATGGTGGATCACATGGTAGTTTCATTTTTAATGTTTTGAGGATCTGCAGAAGTTTTTTTATATTGGGAGTTGAGCTCAGGATTTTGACACTGAGCTACATCACAAGCCCTTTCTGATTTTTTTGAGACAGGATCTTGTTAAGTTACCCATGTAGGAGCTAAACTTATAATCTTCCTGCCTCAGGCTCCCAAGGTGCTGGGATTACAGGCATATGTAATTGTTCCTGGCTTCCCCGTGCTGCTTTCTGCACTGATTCACATCATTTTGCGCTCTAACCGACAAGCATTGCAGTATTTCTGCTGCTTATTAGCAACTTTGTTATTTCTATCCTTCTGTTTTAGATAGTAGCTGTCTATCTCAGTGGTTATTTATATTTCTCTAAGTGTAGATGTTGAACATCTTATCTATTTATTTATTTTTTATGTATTTAGTACAGGGTCTCCCTACACAGATGGGACTATTAGTGATCCTCCTATCTTCAGCCTCCCAAGTTCTAGGATTACAGGCATGCACACCACGCTCATTCTCAGTCGCCATCTCAGCGTGCCTCCGGGGCAGGGGCGGCGTGGGTGGCATGTGGTGCTCCTGGTCCCTGTGCTTGCTTAAGTTGACACTTAGTCTGCTCAGCTATCTGGCTGGCTCTGAACATTTTATCATGCACACTTTTGCTGTTCTTTCGTTTGGGGAACTGTCCGTTTAAGTTCTTTGCTCACTTTTTAATCACTGGATTTTATTGTTGAGTTGTAGGAGTTCTGTAGATTCTAGATATCAACTTAAGAGAGATCTGATTTATAAACGTTTTTTCCATTCTTTTTTTTTATTTTTGTGGAACC